AAATTTGGGAATTTGGGGAGATGGAGACTTGGGGATTTGGAGACTTAGGGATTTGGGAATTTGGGTATTTGGAAATTTTGGGAATTGGGGGACTGGAGAATAGGGTGATTGGGAAATTGGGAAATTGGGGAATTAGGGAATTAGGGAATTGGGGAATTGGGAGATTGGGAGATGGGGTGATTGGGAAATTGGGAAATTGGAGGTTTGTGGATTTGTGGATCTGTGGATTTGGGTATTCGGAAATTTGCAAATTTGCAAATTAGGGAATTTGAAAATTCTGAATTTAGGAATTTGAGAATTTAGAGAATCCACAAATTACTATATCCAGAAATTATAATATCTAAGAATTATCGAATAAAGAAACTAGGAGATCTGATCTGAAATTTTCAGTTCGAAGTAGTGATGGGTTTAAGTCGCACACCACCGTCCTCTCACAAAACAAAACAATTAGTGCTACATAACCGTCTTGTTACTACAACACAAAACAATTTGCCCTACATCACCATCTCACACCACAAAACAATTACTATTACATCCCCCTGTTCTCACAACCCAAACTAATATCCACCACACCATCGATTTGTTCTTACAAGACAATTTATATAACCTCCCCATTTTGCAACGTCACAAAACAATTTTCATAATGTACCACAGCACATACCGTACCAGAATTCATATTACTGAGTACCGTGTAATTTTCCCTATCGATCCATTTGAAAATCACTTCTGGGAAATGATCAACCCGTTCCCGTCCGGGTCAGCCGTCCGTTTTTTGTTCGAGGGTATCGTTGCGAGGAAACCCATAGACATTTTGCGTCCGTCTGCTACCCATCGCTTGCATAATGCATACGGTGCATCCGTGCACTCAAGTCCCTTTTGCACTTAGTTCCGCTACCGCCTCGTACACTGTCGGCTTCACATCCCCGGAGGAAAGTTGCGATACTTTGTTTGTCGTCCTGGCCTTCTGCTACCTCGTGCTCTTTCCATGGCCGGCTGACCATCGTCATCCCACGAGACTTTCTTGCCCTCGCGCGTTCTCGTACCATCGAACATTCTGAAGCTCGTGAATCGTCCCGCTGATATCGGTCTTCCCTTAATTACGGAAGCACCGTGGGGGACTTTTAGAATTTTGTGAAATTCTACTTTTGCAGTTCTGCGAGTTTGATCATTTTATGGGGGTGGAATTTTGAAATGTTTGGGCTTGGAGGATTTGGGAATTTTCAGATGACAGATTTTAAGGATTTGGGATTTTGGTCTTGGTGATTTTGGAAATTTGGAATTTTGCAGTTGGCAGATTTTGTGGATTTGGGGTTTTAGAGATTTGGAATTCTTGGTGTTGGGGGTTTTGGTAGTTTGGAATTTTGCAGTTGGCAGATTTTGTGGATTTGGGATTTTAGAGGTTTGGAATTCTTGGTGTTGGTGGTTTTGGAAATTTGGAATTTTGCAGTTGGCAGATTTTGTGGATTTGGGGTTTCAGAGGTTTGGTATTCTTGGTGTTGGTGGTTTTGGAAATTTGGAATATTGCAGTTGACAGATTTTGAGGATTTAGGGTTTTAGAGATTTGGTATTCTTGGTGTTGGTGGTTTTGGAAATTTGGAATTTTGCAGTTGGCAGATTTTGTGGATTTGGGGTTTTAGAGATTTGGTATTCTTGATGTTGGGGGTTTTGGTAGTTTGGAATTTTGCAGTTGACAGGTTTTGTGGATTTGGGGTTTCAGAGATTTGGTATTCTTGGTGTTGGTGGTTTTGGTAGTTTGGAATTTTGCAGTTGACAGGTTTTGTGGATTTGGGGTTTCAGAGGTTTGGAATTCTTGGTGTTGCTGGTTTTGGAAATTTGGAATTTTGGAATTGACAGATTTTGCAGATTTGGGATTTTAGAGGTTTAGAATTTTAAGTAACATATAATATAAAACTAAAAATTTACACTGTTACAATTACTGAAAATTTATTAAACACCCACTTAATTTTTATTTATTCCAGTATCCTATTATTAACGAATTAAAATATTTCTTCGCATTATTTATCGCCTGAATAGAATTTCCTCAAGAATTTGCGTGGCACGTGTCAAGGAAAACTCCCACGATTTTCCCCATGAAAATCAAGCTCCGGTGCATACAAGTCAATATTTGCAAAAAGACGGCTCCGTCTCATATGTCATATAATCTCTGTTCGATTTACATCACCGGCTCTCGGCAGTCTCAACGGGGTGGCTCTCAATGAATAACCGAGGTTCTCTGCCATTTCTTTCAGCGCTGTCCGATCTAATAAAAGCGGTGCAAAGAGCCGACAACGAAAAGGCCATGAAGAGTTCCGATGTGAAAACACGAGGCTCGATGGAGGACACGTAATCAGGGAACAGCCGACCTATCCGTCATTGAGGCGTCCACTCGGGAGAATACGCATGAAACGTCGAGGCTGGCGTTCATCTCGTCGGAAGTCGAGTATGAAAGATGACTGCCACGATATACGCGTTTGCATTTACGCCGAGTGCACGCGTTTCCAATGGGAGAATATCGGGAAAGCTTGTCCGGATTCGACAGTGACCCTTTCTGAACGTTTCAAAGCCTGCATGGAACACCGTTTCCTTGCGCGATGTCGTAAACATTTAATAGCGATGTTTGCGCGTAATGGCGGAACGCTATCGTCTCTACCCGCTGGAATTTGAATATCTGCCCGATTTATGCTGCGCTGCTTTATTGCGGATCTTTCGTTCATGAATTTCAGTCTTTTCTGCGGTTTTGACAGGGCAGATTTGAGTTTTCTGATTAATTTGTTCTTGGGTAAAGTGTAGGAAGAATTAGACGAAATTAAAAATTTATTTATTGATGCTTTATGTAATATTGCAGATTGCAACTTTGGTTTGACTTTTGCTATAATGAATAGCACATAGTTTGTATACATTTTTGGATAAGTTTAGCTTCATCGAAAACCCATCACTACTGTAATTCTATTAAATTTCATTCGTTGTTTATAATTTTATTAACCGACTGTTTTATGAAATTTAATTTATTCATTGCAATTTAACATTGTTTTAAAAAAAATTGTATGGAGAATTAAAACTTGTCGAATCAGTCAGACTTGTAGTTCAGTCGCCATCTTGGATTTACAAAAAGTACTTAGTACCTCTAAAAACCATGAAGCTTAATAATAATCGTATTTCCATTTACGTAGCCACTATAATTTTATGAAATTTAATTGATTCATCATAATTTAACATTGTTCTAAAAAAAATTGTATGAAGACTTAAAACTTGTCGAATCTACAGTCGCCATTTTGATGTCCATTAACCATATTGCATTCACAAAAAGTACTTCGTATCTCTAAAAACCATGAAGCTTAATAATAATCGTATTTCCATTTACGTAGCCACTATAATTTTATGAAATTTAATTGATTCATCATAATTTAACATTGTTCTAAAAAAAATTGTACGAAGAATTAAAACTAGTCGAATCTACAGTCGCCATCTTGGTGTCCATCAGCCATATTGCATTCACGAAAAGTACTTATCATCTCTAAAAAGCTAATAATCGTATTTCCATTTACCCACGATAAAATCTTCCCAAGCAAAAAGTCGACATCAAAGGTAAAAACAGGATATTATTTGTAGCACATTTAATTAACTCAAAGCAGCAAATCGAGAGAAGAAATAAAATATTTAAATGAACATGGTATTTGATGTATTAAAATGACAAGGTGAAAGGGGATTACCCTTTAAAGGGGACAGATCGTTCGATTTTAATCAAATAACCGTCAGAATGGCACCGCGAAGAATCACGCGTAGTAGAATAGAGGTATCTCCAGTTGAAAAACGTGACGGGAAACCTAGCTGGAGAAAGACTTCTCCCCGCACATATTGATCAGCATCGGAGGCCACGAATGGGTTACATTCCAAATCCTTTCAACCACGCTCGGTGTTCGTCTCTCTATCTGGGGAATCGTTCGTTCAACAACCGATATTCGTTCAAAACTTCGGTGGATCTATTTGTATACAAATAACAAATTAATCAGGTTTTGTTATAAAGTGCTTCAACCTATAGTTAGTACTCGAACTATGAAAATACTTCTCTATACAGTTGTATATCAAGCTTTTTTCTAATTTATGGATTTGGGGGACTTCAGATTTGATTTGATCGAGAATTTATGGATTCTTGCAGGGTGGAAAAATTATAACCTTCTTCTATTGTTCTTAGGTCTCTAACTTTGTTTATCCACATAGTCCAGTTTCTACATTTTAAATTGTATCGGGAATTTGGGGATTTGGAAATTTTGAAACCTGAGAATTCGGGGAGTTGGAGACTTGGGGATTTAGGGATTTGGGAATTTGGGAATTTTGGAACTTGAGAATTCGGGGATTTGGGAATTTGGGAATTTGAGAATTTGGGGATTTGGAAATTCTGGAACTTGAGAATTCGGGGAGTTGGAGACTTGGGTATTTTTTAATTTACGGATTTGAGAGTCTTGAGATTAGATTTGATGAAGAATTCATGGATTCTTGCAAAAATTATAACCTTCCTCCACTGTCCTTAAGGCTCCAAACTTTGTTGATCCACCTAGTCCAGTTTCTACATTCTAAATTCTACATTTTTACATTTTACCATATTTAAGCACATGCTATTTCTTTATCATTTATTTACATAGTTTTGTATTATTCAGCATACCACCTAACGTTTATCCATTAATTAAAAACGTGACGTAATAAATTAAGCAACCGAAGTAGACCAAATTTTGACATAGTAGTTCACGAAACGAATTTTCGAAATTGCTCGTAGGAAACGTGTTTCTTGACGAAGCCAGAACTTACCGATCGAGTTCTCTGCATTAATTTTGGAAGTCGGGCAAGGTATGCCGATCCGCGGACGGATAGCAAGGGCGGTTTGCATATCGCGTCATGAATCGAACTGGAATCTGGAGGACTTCTTAGCGCAGTATCCGAGTAATAAGCAGTGCGCCGTAGACGACGTCGGCATTTCCCGTCTAATAACTAGAGAATCCACTTACGTATCTTGTTGGACGAATTCCCGTGGGAGTCTCTGCGCAGGGCTGCAAATTCTCTCGAGAGATTTCACCGGGCCTGGCATCCCAACTTCCGGCAGCCCGTCGAATATTTCTATCGATGATTGGCAGGTTTGGGCGCTGTAATTGAGACGGGAGTAATTATCTTCGATATCTAATTTTAATCTTATATTTATTGTCTAATTTATTGTAATTGTCTTAGTCTTCAATTCTTTTTGTTGTAACAACCTTAATTTTTATGAGTACTGTGGTATTTAGAATTTTTTAACATAATTGACTTGTTTCACAATTTTTTTTATTGTCATTGGGATATTGAAACATTTTTTTTTTATTGGAATTGTTTTATTTGACAAAATTTTTTTTATTGTAATAGTTTTATTTCTCAATTTTATTTTGTATTGTAATTGTATTATTTTTCAATTTGGTTTTTATTGTAATTGTTTTATTCCGCAATTTTTTTTTATTGTAATAGTATTAATTCTCAATTTTTTTTTATTGTAATAGTTTTATGTCTCAATTTTATTTTTATTGTCACAGTTTTATGTCTCAATTTTTTTTTCTTGTAATCGTATTATTTCTCAATTTTTTTATTGCAATAGATTTATTTTTTAATCTCCTTTATTGTAATTGTTTTATTTCCCAATTTTTTTTATTACGATTTTTTACCTTCTTTATTGTGATCGTTTCACTCCTAAATTTTTCAAATTACAGTTGCCTTATTTCTCAATTTTTGATTACTGTAATTATTCAAGTTTTCACTATTCTTAATTGTAATCGTCTTACGTCAAACTTAATTCTTAGGTTTACTGTGAAACTTTAGCTCTTCAAGATTACCACACGAAGTTCAGTCTCTTCCTAATTCACTATTCAGTGGCATAGTAAACATAAATTATTAGAATTTAGCGATCACGCAGATAATTAAAATTGAACCCAAAATACGAGTCCCCTTCGCCACATTCAAACAGTAGCGCCACAGATATTAGGGCAAAGGGTTAATAAACGTGTTAATGATATATACCAATCCACTCGAAGTCGGATGAATAATTGACCCTCGAAAAGGTTTTCAAGCAATAATCCGTTCTCTCCAAACAAACGGGCGTAGCCTTGGCTAGCAATTACCCGGCCCATTCATCTGAAAGTTTTTAACAACTTAATTACCCGTTTAAATTTATTCTTTCGTTCGGGCGAAAGCAGGCCGCGATGAAAGGGTATCGAGCGTAAAGCAGAAACGTTGGCCAATGGCATATCGATCACGATAAATAATGCAGGTTAGACAGGCCGGTGATGGCGGTAGGGTTGTTAAAAATTTGTGTGTAGAGCACGTAGTTTTCGTCAAATGAATATTCGAGGAATCAAGTTGGGCCGAGCGAAGATCAACGGGATGGCAGATAGTGAAATAATTCAGTTAGCCGCCCGAGTCAAGGGACGAAATCATTTATTGACAACAAAGCACGAAAATGGATTTGCGAAAATGTAGGCAGAGAAGTTCATTTGCATCTTTTATTTTTATCCTTTGAAACACTGTTCGATGTAACGCGATTGGAAGTCGATATTTGTCGGATCTGTGAAAGAAATATTAGCAGCAATTAAGGGTTGAGCTTCAAAAGAATTCGTCAGAGTTCATCCGCAAATAACTGGGGACACAAGGTTGATTTTTTTGTAAATTTTTGTTTGGACATCTTTAAATATACCTCATAGGTTTAATCTTAATATACTTCATAGATTAATATCTGGATGTTAAAGGTTGTTATCTGGAGGTTAAAAGTATTTAATAATTTCTGGTCTCATCATGAAGTGTATTTAAGAATTGCTGTATTCTTGAACTTATGCCTCATATAGAGGAATTTGCATGTTGACATAAAGTATCGATGCCGAAGTATCATAGCAAAATTATAGCCACAGATATTTGTCTCTAATCACAAACTTTGCGCTTGCTACGAGGAACACAATACCCAGCTCAGATCCGCTTATGCGTGTTACGTGTACTGTGTCAAACTTCAACGAACATTAAGCTGAGTATTGATTCTGCAGGATGTAACAAATTGGGCGTCAAATATGGTGTGTAATCGGATATCTAAAGTGATTTAGTAATTACTGCAAGCTGGGTACGTAACCAGGAGCGTCTGACAATAAAAATTCTGCATGTGTCGATGAAGAAGAATTTGGTAGTTTTGGAAGTTAGAGTGTGAAGGATAAATTAGATGGAGGGATAATATGTACTCTTTATGAGGAATAACGTTATATTAGAGAAATATTGTAATTTGAAATGTGGATAGGTAGAAGGTTGAAGTTTTAAGTAGAATAGGTCAACGTGTGATCAGACAGAAATAGTCATGAAGGTGTCGTGTGGTTTAATGTATAGTGTCAATATTTTATAGTATATGATATTTGATAATATTACATGTTTGAATAGTGAAATTTGAAAATACGGTAATTTGCAAATAGTGGTAACTAAGACTATACTGACTAAATGAACTAATTTAATTAACTTGACTAACTTAACTTAACTCGACTAACTTAATTTAACTTAACTAACTCAACTGACTTAACTAACTTAACTAACTCAACTAACTTAACTAACTCAACTAACTTAACTAATTTAACTAACTCAACTAACTTAACTAACTTAACTAACTTAATTTAACTCAACTAACTTAACTAACTCAACTAACTTAATTTAACTCAACTAACTTAACTAATTTAACTAACTCAACTAACTTAACGAAACTAATTACACTAAAACCGAGTAAAATATTTCAAACTGTCGTTTGACAAATACGTTCATTGACAATAGCACTAGTACATTATACTAACAACCTAATAACACTTTCCATAATAAAACTACTTTGAGTGCAACGATAGAAATACTTTCCATAATTCTCAAAATGTAACCAAACAAAAAAAAATTAAACGACCTAAATTTCCATCAGCAAAAACCTAAATACCCAGGCGCCATTTTGTAGCGTGCGTAAGCCGAGATTGCTAAGAATCTCCATTTCCGTTCGCGCGTATCAATCAGCATAATTCATCGAAACGCGCCAACAGAAGCCCTCCATCCTGTTCTCGGAAGTAATAGATACGAAGTAGCAGTAAATCACATGGGAATGCGGCTGGCTCGTATCCCTGGGATTTTCAATTATCATGCACAATGGCTGCAACGCGCGGACCATGCATTCGTGGCTTTGTAGATATGTTCCTGTAAGAGATGGAACACGCTCTGGGAGGGTTGGTAAAGCCCCTTCCTCTTCGCCAAAACCAGGCGAACCGTAGCCAAGGAGCGAACGTAACCCCGTGGGTCTGAGACGGCAGATATATATCCGGGAATAAACTAAGAGAAGACACGCATACCGAGAGGAACGAGAGGAACACGTTGAGATGATAGAGTGAACGGTTTTTTGTATCGAACACTGTGTCAATTTTTGGGAGGAATTTCCGGTAGAAATATCGTGGAATTTTTAGTGGGATGGATAGTTAAAAGATGTGTTTACAGGTAATATAGGGTTTTGGAGGCGTTGAGGGAGATTGAGAGAGCTTGTACGTAATTAAGAAAATTATATATAATTATTGAAGAGGTATTTATCGAAGCTGTACTTGTCAGACAGGTATTTATCGGAGAGGTATTTGTTAAACAGTTATGAAATGAATCATAACTACATTTTAAACAAAACAGTTAATGAGTATCTAGTTTAAACGTTTTTTTCTTATGATTCTAACTGATGTACAACATATATAAATTATAACACGTCAACTCAAAGTTGACTCTTAATTTCTCTGTTCTTTTTTCCAATACATATTATTTACCAAATTTCCAGTCATCCTAAAGTTTACAAAAGTTTGAGCAATTCACGAGTATCCTAGATTCTCGTAATCCCGATACAAATGTTTATCGAACCCGAAGAGATCGTTCCTCGGCGTAGAAAGCTCGATAGAAACGTGTCCCGATTCAGAGAATGCGGCACGAGCGTTTCTCGATTTCTTGAACTCGATGTGAAATCCCGTGACGCGTGAAACTGGATACACATGACTTCTGACTGCTGAAATTTTGTACCAATAACATCCAAATTTCGCGGATATTGATTTACGAAACTGTGATACAGGGAACTCTGAATTTTTTTTCAAAATATGACAACTCGCGATGTCGTTGCGGTTCATAGGTTCATCATTTTTCAATAACTCTGTTTTTTTTTTATATTGTATTTCAGTTTTAGCGATTCATTTTAAGTTACATTAGAATTTATTTAATTTCGGAACAAAAGTCAATGTGAACGATTAGGTTACCAGTGGCGCCCTCTACGTCGCCATCTTTAAATTCTTCGTAAAAATAAATAAAATCATAAGTGCTATTTTAAAGACTGTTTTTACTAAAAAGAAAGTGTTTATGTTAGTACTAATATTAATAAATATAAATGAAAATGTTATTATAGTTATTAGAACAAGATTTGATGCTCCGTCACGAACTACACGTTGTAAGTGACATTACAATAAGCAAACTACTGTAAGTATTTTAATAAAAAAAACAGTTGTGATGATGAACAAAGCATAATAATGAACAAAAAGCATAATATTTTGATAATATAATATTTGATTCGTAGAAAGTAAAATTCGTTTTGTTCGAAGCCTTTTGAAGGTACGTCACGTCGCGAACTTTGTTTCGCCATTTTGTAGCGGCTTCGATTATTAACCTCAACGCAATTCGATACATCGTACCTGAAGGGGTTTCTTCTGTAGTAACTAGTAATTAAAATCGAAGTGTCGGTCAGAGACTAGCAAGTTCGACTTCTCGTTCGATCTTGATACAGAAACGCTCGCAGTCGAGGACCCTGAAGAGTGACCCCGTGAAAAAGGTAAACAAATGAAATGGAATTCTAACCACGGACCAATGGCACGGTACTCTACGTGACTGCATTTCCTAGCTGTTTTCTAATTTTCTCTTTACAATCGAATCCTATCGTCTTTGAGTTTCCCGTTTGTTCGCAAATACTGGCGTGTGTACGTAGGAACCAAATGTTGATGAAATGAAAATGTTTTCGAATATGTGTTTGTAGATGTCTCTGTCCATGTTTGTATTGATTAAAATATCGGTGAGTGGAAGTTGAATAATGTTTTGGATTCATGTAATTAAATTAATTTGAAGAATAAAAAATGAAATAGAATTTAAACTGTAATATTGTATTATTTTAATGAAGTATAAAATGAATTTGGAAAAAGTTAAAGTTTAATACTGTAATATTTTAGTGAGGTATAAAATAATTTTAGAGAACAAAAAATTAAATGAAATTTAAATTATGTCAATATTGTATTATTTCAGTAAGGTGTAAAATGAGCATGGAGAAAAAAATTCAAGTAAAATTAATATTGTATTGTTTCATTTAGGTATAAAATAATTTTAGAGTACAAAAAATTAAATGAAATTTAAATTATGTCAATATTGCATTATTTCGGTAAAGTAATAAAAACGCAAAAAGATTAAATAAAAAATGAATATCATACAATTTTTATTTTACTATAAAGTGAATTCAGAGAAGTAAAAATGAAACCAAATTTAAATAATATTACATTACACGAATATGCAAAAAAATTAAATGAAAAATTAATTCTGTATAATTTTTCATTTGGTATAAAGTGAACTCAGAGAATTAAAAATGAAACCAAATTAAAATAATGTTATTATATCACTTCTGTAAGATATGAAGTAATATAATAATATTGCAAGAAGTGGTTAAATATTCATGCAATGATTTCATCAAATCTACGGATACTAAAATCACACGTTTTGCATAAGGTACCGTTTCATCGAGATTAATTAATTCTATCAATGCCTGTCATTATATTGAATTGTAAATTATTGGAAACCATTATGAGATTTTTAATATCACGAATTACAATATTGCGATTCGAGGATTTAACGATTCGTGAACCTGTTAATATTATTCAAATGATTAAATAATTTCAGTTATATGCATCATTGCGTAATTCCTGTTATATTACGTTATCGATCGATAAATCGTTTAGAGTAGTACTGTTTATTTTAATTGCATATGATTTTATTTATTTCGTTTTGATTCGCTGATTTAATATTTAATATGAGAAGTTTTTGTATAATTATGGTTATGAGATATATTATGAGGATATTTTTAATGTTTATTTAAAGGAAATTTTTTAATTGAAGAGTTCTTGAATTTCCACCTATTTATATTTTCAAATTTTTTATTTTTAAAATTTCTTACTTTCTAGATTCTAAAATTTCATTTCTCAATTTTTTAAATTTGAGAATTTGAGAATATCATTTCTCAGTTTTTTAAGTTTGAGAATTTGAGAATTTCTAAATTTAACAATTTCTAAATTTAAAAATTCCCAATTTCTCAAATTCTTATGATCCCAATTTCCCACACTCTCAAGTCCCCAAATTATTAAATTTTAAAGTTTTCAAATTCCACACTCCCCAAATCCCAAAACTCTGAAATATCCAACTTCCCAATTTCCCAACCCTCCAAATCCCCAAATTATCAAATCCCAAAATTTCCAAATCCCCACTCCCCAAAATCTAAACCCAAAAATTCATAAATCCCATTCCCAAATGTCCAAATTCCCAAACACCCAAATTCTCAAATTTCCAAACTTTAACACCCGAACCCTTCAAATCTCCAAATCCTCAACTTCCCAATTTCCCAATTTCCAACTGAATCCCAAAACATCCAACTTCCTAATTTCCCAACCCTCCAAATCCCCAAATTGCAATATTCAATAACTCCACAGAAACAAAATTATCTCCATCTCCCATAACCCATAATCCATCAAAAGCCATAACCCATCAGAAATCATAATCCATAACCCAAAATCTTCAGCAAATACCTCGTCGATAAAAAGCACAGATGAAAAGAGACAAGATGGTTCATCTTACCTAAGATTGTAACTGGCCAGTGAAACGTGTCCAGTGTCATAAGCACGTCCACGTAGAACCAGTCGACACGTGGTGGACTTGAGCTTTCCCCGGGTGTCGTGATGACCCGCTCGTACTTTCTCACCTGTGACCTCTAGGTCGCAGCTGCTCGACGATGACCCTTGATCCTTGCGATGATCGTGGAGATCCCGGTTATTATACCGCACGTTGTAACCAATGTTGTTGATCATCTTTGTTGTGTCCACTGAAAATACAGTGTGGTAATTGTATAATAATAATTGTGGTTTATTTTGAAAGGAGGATGAGGAGTAGGATTGAGTAGGATGTGAAGAGCAATTCATGGGTGGTAGCTGGTGGAGTAGGTGGTAGATTGTTTGGTTTAGAAGATTATTGCGAATGTTACTGGGATTTTTAAAAGAGAGGAAGGAGGTTTTTTAAGCTTAAGGTTTATATTTTCATTAGTATGCAGTTATTGTTAAATTTTAATATTTGGAAATTTTTATATCTCCAAATTCTTGCATTCTTAATTTCTTACTGCAGCGAGTTCTTACATCGTCAAGTTTCTATGTCCCTAAATTTCTATAATCCTAAATTCCTACATTACCTTATTGCTTGCTTCTTCAAGTCCCTATATTTCCAAATTTCTATATCTGCAAAGCCCTACATCTCCAAATTCCACAAACTCCAAATCCCACAAATTCCTAATTCCATAAATCCCAAATCCCACAAATCCCAAATCCCACATATCCCAAATGCCACATATCCCAAATCCCACAAACTCCAAATTCCACGAATCTCAAATCCCACAAATTCCAAATCCCACGAATCCTAAATCCCACAAATCCTAAATCCCACAAATCCCAAATTCCACAAACCCCAAATCCCACGAATCCCAAATTCCACATATTCCAAATCCCACATATCCCAAATCCCACATATCCCAAATCCCACATATCCCAAATCCCACATATCCCAAATCCCACATATCCCAAATCCCACATATCCCAAATCCCACATATCCCAAATCCCACATATCCCAAATCCCACATATCCCAAATCCCACATATCCCAAATCCCACATATCCCAAATCCCACATATCCCAAATCCCACATATCCCAAATCCCACATATCCCAAATCCCACATATCCCAAATCCCACATATCCCAAATCCCACATATCCCAAATCCCACATATCCCAAATCCCACATATCCCAAATCCCACATATCCCAAATCCCACATATCCCAAATCCCACATATCCCAAATCCCACATATCCCAAATCCCACATATCCCAAATCCCACATATCCCAAATCCCACATATCCCAAATCCCACATATCCCAAATCCCACATATCCCAAATCCCACATATCCCAAATCCCACATATCCCAAATCCCACATATCCCAAATCCCACATATCCCAAATCCCACATATCCCAAATCCCACATATCCCAAATCCCACATATCCCAAATCCCACATATCCCAAATCCCACATATCCCAAATCCCACATATCCCAAATCCCACATATCCCAAATCCCACATATCCCAAATCCCACATATCCCAAATCCCACATATCCCAAATCCCACATATCCCAAATCCCACATATCCCAAATCCCACATATCCCAAATCCCACATATCCCAAATCCCACATATCCCAAATCCCACATATCCCAAATCCCACATATCCCAAATCCCACATATCCCAAATCCCACATATCCCAAATCCCACATATCCCAAATCCCACATATCCCAAATCCCACATATCCCAAATCCCACATATCCCAAATCCCACATATCCCAAATCCCACATATCCCAAATCCCACATATCCCAAATCCCACATATCCCAAATCCCACATATCCCAAATCCCACATATCCCAAATCCCACATATCCCAAATCCCACATATCCCAAATCCCACATATCCCAAATCCCACATATCCCAAATCCCACATATCCCAAATCCCACATATCCCAAATCCCACATATCCCAAATCCCACATATCCCAAATCCCACATATCCCAAATCCCACATATCCCAAATCCCACATATCCCAAATCCCACATATCCCAAATCCCACATATCCCAAATCCCACATATCCCAAATCCCACATATCCCAAATCCCACATATCCCAAATCCCACATATCCCAAATCCCACATATCCCAAATCCCACATATCCCAAATCCCACATATCCCAAATCCCACATATCCCAAATCCCACATATCCCAAATCCCACATATCCCAAATCCCACATATCCCAAATCCCACAAATCCCAAATCCCACAAACTCCAAATCCCACAAACCCCAAATCCCACAAATCCCAAATCCCACAATTCCCAAATCCCACAAACCCCAAATCCCACAAACCCCAAATCCCAAAAATCCCAAATTTCTACAGCCTCCTACCTCTGGATCCCCAAATTCCTGTATCCCTAAATCCCTAAATCTCCAAATCCCTACATCTCCCAAATACCTACACCCCCAAATCCCCACATCCCCAAATTCCTCCACCCCCTAATCCCTACATCCCCAAATTTCTCCACCCCCAAATTCCTTCATCCCCAAATTCCTCAACTCTCAATTTCCCAAATCACCAAAAACAGAAACCCAAAAATTTGACTACCTATTTGTCTACCACAGCAAGGCTACTAAAGCCACTTGCCGGTATAATGTAAGCAGACCTTTAAAGAGCGTAAACACATCAGTAGGGACAATTTGAGGATACAGCGAATGGGGCCAATGTGGGAGACATTACTATACAGACTCTCAGTCCACAGAGGGTGTTGAAGCAAGGGCGACCCAGTTTCGAAACACCGCTCGATTGAAATTGAAATACACTGAGGGGTTGGAATTAATTATCTCGCGAGAGGTGTGATGGGAATTTTTCTTTTTGAACCCTCGGAAGTGATGTGGACAGAGGTCCGAATTACTTCTGGATTCAAGCTTCGTTCGTGATCGTTGTTAATTAAATAAATATTATACGTGGTTGCACTTTGCAAGTTTTATTAATTAACGGCGTGTATTGTAGAGATTGAAAGATTGTTGTGAATATTATTTTATTGACACGTTCGATAATGTGGCCAATTAATATTAATATTAAATTTTAATGCCTGAATGAAAATTAATATTTAAATGATACTAATATTTGAGTAACAAATTTTGATAAATAAATATTAATATTTAGATGGCAAATATTATGAAGTTACATTTTAATATTTAAACGATAAATATTATGAGATTCACTTTAATATTTAAACGATAAATATTATGAAATACTAATGTTTAATTAATAATAGATCAATTTAAATTTCGAATAATGTAGATTGCGTTCATGAACTGAAAACATCAAAATGATCAAACCTGAAAAATTTGCTTGATATTTTTAATTTTCATTTTATATGTCCACTAAATTGTTGCAGTTTTTCTTTGAATAAATGCATGAGTATAATGAAGTTATTAAATTGCAATGTATTTTTCTACTTACCACTTTTATTAAAACCTTCTGTGGTCACTGTCGTCGGTGGTTCCGTTGTGATTTCCATGAAATTCAAATTCGCGACGAAACCATTGTAATCAAATGGGGGTACTTCGGGACCCGTTCTGAAAACATAATTTCTTCCTAAACTATCTAACACTTTGGAACTTTTTAGTAGTTGCTGACAAGAATAAAAATGTCTGATCAACATATTAAAATCAATTCTTTTAATGAAATGTTCAAAAAATTATTCAAACAGGAATATTAAAGAATTTTATTATAAAATATTATTATAAAATATTAGTACTGTAAAATATCACTCTGTGATTAGATAAAAGGAACTGAAATTGAATTCACAGTGTGCTATTATTTAAAAAGTACAAATGTGAAAAATAACCCTTATTCACATTAAAATAATCAAATACTTTTGCTATTATTTTTACATATCGCATTTTTAATCATACGTAAACATTTCATCTGACAAAATAGTAAATTAAGTACCAAATAAAATTCTGAACAATGAATATTTATGAGCACCCCTCTCTATATCGCCATTTTCCGTCAAATCCTCACAGTCCCTTAATTAACCAGTTCCATTGTCCCCAACAAATTCTACAAATTACAGAGGACAATACCTTTTTTCCCCCCGTATTCTACCAATTCAAGGAGCATCAAGTTGCACAAACTTTACAAACAGATTGTTACAATACAATAATGGGGATGTTCTCAAAGAAAATGTACAAAAGTTTACCTGAACTCGACCAACAGTTTCTGTCCGCTGTAAGTCAACGAGGTTTTCTCTTTGCCACAGAGCATCTTTAAAAGAGGACTCGATGTTGTCGGACCCGAATACACGGCAATATAGTCGCTGGTGCAGTGACTGGAACAAACAGGAGCGAAACACGTTTTAGTTGAAACGTTTGTGTAGGTGGCTCGTAAACTGAAACGGAATTCACCGGATAGAAGTGTATCCGGTGTTTTAGTAAAATTAACGGTTTCCAATTTTTTACCCACGTATACTCGCTGCAATGTACGACGTTCCAGAACTTTTTACTCAAATAGAGTACCTTAAGAATCGCCTTTCGTGCCCTCAGATTAATTGCGATCGATGGGTTCGAAACGATGTCTTTTCACATTTTTTAATATTAAACTTTTCTTAGTTATACATATGCTACATAATTATCACACTGCCCAATTTCTACATTTCCCAATTTCTAAATTTCCCAAATTCCAAATTTTCCAAATTCCAGATTTCCAATTTCTAAACCCCAAATTCCAAATTCCCCAAATTCCAAATTCCCCAAATTCCAAATTTTCCAAATTCCAAATTCCCCAAATTCCAAATTCCTCAGATTCCA